AAGAGCAAAAATAGGCAACATATTATACATTTCATAAACTACTTTGTGTAAAATATTAACTATTTTATAGCATTAAGACAACTAGAGTTTTAAACTATAAAGGTCGTGTTGTCTTCATGATTTGCAACACTAAGATTGAATCAGACATTTTACTAAATTCAGAAATTATTATGAAAAAGTATGTCAAAATAATGTCAAAATTAACAAAAAATATGCATCATTGTATTTTACAGACTCATAAGTTATGTTACTATTGTCGACGTACTTTATACAGGGTGCCCATTTTAACTGTTCCCGCTCAAAATTTCATAAATAGGTAACCATTTAACTTTTCATATGAGGCTTTGTGTTAAAATATTATACAGGGTGTTTCACACAACTTTACGAGGCTTGCGCCTAATGTACACACCCCATTATACAAAAGTCACAATTTTTGTAAACCCATGACAGTAGTTGTCAAACTAATCACTGTTTCATTAATAGTCATAAACTACAATTTTTCAGAAACAATTATTATTTGTTCTATCAAGAGACGACATGAATATGATTCTAGTTTATCTATATCTTATTTTATATCACTAACTAACTAAACACGTTGTAATTTTTGAAAGGGTGTCAAACTAGAGAACATTATCCAATTTTTCAAAATTTGTAATCGAGTTCGTATCGGAATATGTATTAATGATTGCATCTTACAGGCGCACGCCTCGTAACATTATGTGAAACACCTTGTATACTACAATTTGCGATGTTAATGAGCTTTTAAATTGCATTATCTAAAAATAATATCTGTTTCAAAGCACACATTAAATTCTCAACTACATTATAAAATTAAATTAAATTCGATTAAGCTGCATATCTATTAATCTATTTCCGTAACAATACCGTTCTTTTTTAACGTTCCCATCGCCCATTGAGTCATATCTCATTCATGAAATTCTGGTGTGCCACTATGACTTCATCAATTTAATTAGAATAATCGCTGAAATGGCATACAAAATTATGTGAACAGCTTTTTCTTTTAGCCATTTCCGGCAATTTGACGTTGATGGCGGTGTCACATTTATTGTAAAAACTGCCTCTATTTGGTATCGAGTAAACTTTTCTGCAGTAATTCTAGACGGGGTGCAGTGTTTCAGCCGCGTTAATAATTTCCGGAACAAACGGTGCAATTGACACACACACATTTAGAGCATTGCAGGCCCCATGTAGTTGAATAGAACAACAATAACAGATAATGGACCATTTGTCCTGCTTTAGGGGCCCTGTAATTAATTTATGCCTTGGGGGCGCAACGGTAACTGCTGCTATTATCTTTGGAAATTTCGATAAAACGTTACTTTTTTTATTAACGTTATAATAATAAATTCGATAAGGTTTTGGCTTTAAATACTTCGTTTACATGGTGGCTTCGATAACGCTGCTAGCAGGCCAATAACCCGGCGTTTATATAGATAGGTAGACACAATGTTTAACGCAGAAAAGTTTTTATACCGCTTGTTACTTTGTTAGTGTGCCGATTGATGTGTCATTTCATTTGATTAAAGAGCCGAGAGTGACATGGTTCATGTAGTTTTTAGCTTGATAGATTGGAGGGAACTGAAACTCGCTATTTGTAATATGTAATCAGTGTTCCGTACGCTAGATGGACCCTTTGATATTTAATGTGACCCCAGTGAGGATAGCCCTTTATCGAAGCTTACGGAATTAAGTTCGTTATACTTCCGCTTTTTAGCAAAATAGACAGAAGCGGTCACACCCACGGAACAATTCTTACCAAAATGCAAAAAAATAATGTCTTTTTTGTGTTATTCAATGACTACTTTTATTTGTTGAGAAAAAAGAAAACACAAACTGATATTGTTATAAAATCTATCTCTTATAATATTAGTTGATTTGCCTTGAACCAAGTTATTGCAGTCCCGGCTCTGACTATACTACAAGATTTATCCGATATGTGAAGATAAGTATCTGCTGTTCAATAATAATCAATATCTACATTTTTGTAACCTTTCAAGCAATTACAGTAAGAAGGTATAAAATAGACTTTCTATTTTGAAATACGTTTGTTGCAAAAGTTTAAATAAATAATAAAAGGATAACGTAAAACAACAATAATTTAATTATTTATTATTATTGTTAATTAATTAATTATTAATGTAATAATGTATGTGTAGCAAAATTTAAATGAATAAGGGTTGGAAACTATGCATTATGTAATATCTAATATGTAAATGTATCAATTTAATATATGCATAAAATTTAGTCTTCCGGGAAAATTAGAACTCTTTTTTTTGTCTTATAAATTATGATTATATTTTGTAATAAATTGAAAATCTTTTTTTTTTATTTAAACGGGAATTACCAAGTCAATTTTTTTGTGAAAAAAATGCGAACAGCTTATTTTAGGCCACTTTTATTTTACTTGTTCTTGTTTAGTTTCGCTAAATATATAGTTGTCTTTTATGCTGTCAGAATTTCTACTTTTATGGATTTTGTGTTCTCTTCTAGTATACACTTTGAAAGCGTTATTGATGAAGTGCTTCTGATAGAAATAGACAACGAGTAGGTAAGTGTAATGTTGCAAAAATGAACTTGAAAAAGTTATTACGTAGAGGATAAAGATATATATTATGTATAAATAGGTATTGGCAATAAATTTGTGTAATTTATTTGAAATGAGCTTGAAATTGAGACAAGATCTTCAGTTGCTCTTTTAATGACTTTTGTTTTACACTTTACCAAGACTTTTAGCGGTACTGAATTTATTTTATATTCGTCTCCAAATTTTCAAAAGCACCATTAAAATGTTCAATAATGAATTTGCTAAGGCTTTTTATAGGTATTTAAAAGATTCTTTAGAAATAACGTTTTCTTTATTTTAAGTTTATACTTGCTGTAACAAATCGGAAGCCCAAATAAATGATAAATGTAAGGTAAGCGGATTTGTGCCTATTGTAATGTCAATAATACCGCAACTCCAGATTTTTTGCGTAAACTCAATTTGCGAAAACACAGTGCACAGTTATTAATTTGAAAGAAAATTAAGCCTGTTGAAACAATAGACGGAATAATTTGGTTTGAAAATTCAGCAGCGAAGTCGGTCGCTCGCTCAACAAAGCAGAAGCACATTAAAAACAATGCCGGTAAAAGCCGTAGCTCGTGATCGCCTGTATAAATCAGCAGCGGGTTCGAGCGACGAACCGGGCCTACAACAATATTTCCTGTTTCCAGACGCGATAATTTAAAGGAGCTTAGTTTTTGTTTGGATCATTTCGTGGATCTTCAGATCGTCTAACGAAGCGAACTATCGTTCCGAGATGACATCTGCCTGCGGTAGGGCCCTTCTGCAGCCCACTGAAAGACATTGTTATTACTACAGACGCGGTGCACTAGATAGCGGAACGGCGACGGACGATTCTGGCCCTTAAGCCGCCAGGACTTACAATGTATGGAACAGTAAAAAAGAATAGCAAGTTTTATAGCTGTATGATATTCGATATTGCGTCCTTATGTGTTTTTGTTATGGTTTCGGCCGGTTCTCGATTACAATTCCCTGGATATTGGATTGTTTCGTTGTTAGTTTTTAGGTTGTGGAGTTCGGTTGCCTACTCCCGACAACTTCTTCTCTTCGGTAAATTGGGGACCATAACTTTTGAAATAACAAATGCGTCGTTGCGCCAACCAACAATAAATTGTTTCCAACATTTTTCTAACCGTATTTTTACGCTTCAGCTGAAAGAGGAAATTTATTGGGTTCCCGAAACGAAAGGTAAATTGCCAAGGTCTTATTTTTTAGTCGACCGCACCACCTCAGATTTTATTTCAGGTTTTTTTATTAACAATTAAAAGGTATCATAAATTAAGGCCGGTTCATTTATCATACCTTTCTTTGTCAGAGAGGCAGTCGAGATATCCTATCAGTATCATTCGTCCCACACAGGCGTATTTTTCATGAAACCCTGCTCGAAATCGGTGTCATTTATGCTAAATGAGGCTATCATGAAAGTGAACTATTACGCTATCTAACATTCACATTTCACATAATTGTGCTGCTAGTTATTTACCTATCAAGCGAGTAAAGTATTTCTTTCCAAAACCATAAATTTAAATCCCATTCTTCTTTTGTTCATTTTGATAAACTATTGTTGAAATAAACAAAATTTCTGAATTTTGTCCTTTATTATTTTACCATTAATCAAGACACTGTAATTTTGTGCTCTGTTGAATTCACCGGAAGCAACCTTAACTTTTAATTCTAAGTAAAACATTCTACACCTGTTTGACAATGTTCCAATTATAATAAAATTAGAAACGCAACGACGTCATTTTTAATATTTTGACTGCTTGATGTTATACAGGGTGCGAAAAAAATATCTCATGATTAATTTTAATAAAAACTATTACAACTTTTGATCACCTTTTAGGAAAAAAGTATTTTTTGTGTATGTATTATTACCCAAACCAGCAGATTGTCAAAGTAATACAAACATATTTAGATGTTTTTTTAAATAAGACTAATAAATGAATTTATTTGGTACAAGTAGATAATAATGTATTCAAAATGCAACAACAAAAATTTAGTATGTATTTATTACACTGAAAAAAAAATGGAAACTAGAACATAAATAGGTTTTTTTTTATTTTTCATATTACCTAATTTAAAGAATTACTAAAATATAAAGAAAATAAAAGACTATCGATCCACTGTTACTTGTAGCATTTCTTCTGATTTTTTTATTGACAATAAAAATGATAAAATAAATTAACAAAATGATTATTATCAGTGTTTATTGCTGTAGTTTAAAAGTTGCTTGCAAAAAATTGTATGCTTGTGTTATCTACCTCCGATTAAAATGTAATAGATAAAGAAAACTGTTACAAATAAAGATTGCCGTGCCATCTGTCTGTGAGTAGCTTACTCTAAATTTTAAAAACCTGTTACAAAACTGTAATAAAACAAACAAAATATTGTTCATGTAAATACAAACTAGTATACATATAAGAGGTATTATTTTTAGCTCACAATATTGTTACTTAATATTATCGCGAAAAACCTTGTTTTGAATACCTTTCAACTGCCTCCTAAATTACATAATTTTGTCAAAAACCTTGTATGGAAGTTGCTGATTATGGATCCGTGATCGAACACGATTGGTTATAAAAAAAATCAAGACATCGAAAGTCAAATATCAAACTTCAACTTTGAGACTGAAATGTAAGTTGTTATTTTTACACGATTACATCGTTGCACTAGAATGGATATTTAAATTTTTATTATTAGCTTTTGGCACCTTTGGCAACATGTGCATGTAATTCAACACGTTGTTGATCGAGGATCGAGGATGGACGAAATCAAAATCTTATTAAGTAATGCCATTGATCTAATGGAACAGAATAACAGAGGCGTACAGGTGAGCGTTTCATGTGTTTCCAATAAATAATAATATCGAAGTTGTTTCATGCAGTTGAGTTGTTATTCTGTCGCATTAGTTGGCTTGAGCATCGCCATAAGGAGGGTTCGCCCTGTAAGTAAACAAATCATGTATACGTGACCCAATTCTAGCTGTTTTTATAGTTTAGTAGGTTTAGAAAACCTTCAGATATCCCTAACCACTTTATCCAAGAACGTAAAGAACTAACTGGGGTTGTGGAACGCATTGAGCCCAATGGGGCTCTTCTCATGATCCGCCACAAGCCCTTAATTACCATACCAGGACTGCCAGAGGGACAACTCCCAGTCAAAATTTCAGGAGTGAATGTTTCAGGACTTGGCCTAAATTGGTTGCAAGCAATTGTGGCTGGAAGTGAAGTCAGATTTATTCCAATAGCGAAAGACCGCGATTTTGTTCAATGCGAAGTTTTGTTATCCCAGATTCAGAACGTATTTTCTTTTGCTAATTGACGAGTAAAGACAATAATTAATTTTTTGTAGAATAAACCAAGAGTTGTTAATGTTGGAGAATCCCTTGTTAGAATTGGATTTGGGCAAATAGTAGACGTTGACAAGCCTATTTCCACTGATCGTACTCTTTTGGCCTACTATCACCGACTTCAAGGCGCCGAAAAATACGCAAAACGCAAAAAATTAGGACTCAAATATTACATAAGTCCAACAAAGTCTGCTATTGTTCTGGTAGCTAAGAGCTTAAACCGTATGGTTCTTAATACATACAGACACATTGTGCACATACCGAAAATGCCAGCCTCCTAGCAATCAAGGATATACTTAGCAATCGAAATAATATTGACTATTTTACCATTTATAGGCGTATACAAAATAATAACTTACTTTTTCTATAGAGACTTATACAACTGACTGTAATGGTGAAATAGTAGTACTATTTTGATAGTAGATCCCTCTGTCCTGTATATTTATGCCATATTGTTTATTGTTCGTTGTTACATCTCTTGCAATAAAATTTATTTTGTACTAATGGATTTGTTTTTTGTCATAAAAATTTTATCAAGTGGCACACAAAATGCGTGATACTTAATCCTTTGAAATAAATTCGGCCATTAGTAAAAATAATTCAACCTTGAGGCACCCCGTTTGGCTGCGAGTCAGCACGTCAATGCATTTTATTCTGCACCGGTGAGTATTTAAAGAATTTTGCGTAAGATCTTCATAAAAATATTTTTGAAGTAAAGTAAATTGTTAATTAATGAGTTGCAATTTACGAAATAATAATAAACAATCTTTTCGGAATCAATCCCACACCCAAATTTTCATGACCTACGCCACTGTATTATGACATTTATTAATTCGCATAGGTTGTGCTTGTCGCCATTGTGATTTCTTAGGACTATATTTTAGCAAAAAGTGTGAGTAATGGATATAATTACGATTTAAAACCGGTGGAACTGCGTTCTCTAAATTTTGCTGTTACCTTTGATGTACAATTTGACAGATTCGGTCGGCTCGTGTCTTCAAAAATCGCCATTTCATCCGATGTTTGACAGTTGGATGATGAACTCCTCGTTTATTATCATTTTTCTTAGTTGTTGTGGACTTGAATGAGTGTTAGGAAGTGGTTATTTTGTGAGTTTAACTGATTGAGGTTTCATTTACAGATCAGAATGCTTCCTGGTAATGTCGATCCTCGAAGACCTGATAAAGTTCAAAGGTATAAGCCCCCAAGTGCAAATGCCAATGGACAGGGGGAAGATCTCACACCAGACTATATGAACATTTTGGGTGAGTAGGACTGTTTGCAGATTGTTGGACGATTGTGTAGTTTATTGAGTCCACTTGATCAAATTTAATCTTTTAACTTCTTTAGTGTGGTAGTGAGAAATGAATAATTTATACCAGTCACACAGAATCATAACTTTATTTTACCCACATTTTATACAAGTTTGACATGGGAGTGGAATTGCAAAAATGTATTTCATTGTTTTTCAATACTGGAATATTCATTTATTAGCAATTTTAGAGTTTAGAGTGTTTTAAGGCATGTCTTCACTGTACATTTGCAACAGATTTTTAAGGGCAAAAACTTAATATTTTTATCAGAATCCAATTCACTTTGATTTTTGTATACTAAAATTTAGGTTTCCTTCTTAATTTTTTTCTAGTTTTGTCTATTTGTTGCACTCATTGTTGTAATAAACGTGACTTAAAAACTAGGTCATTTATTAAGCAAAAAATTTGTTAAGTGTGAAACATTTTTATGTCTTCATCTACTCATATGATAATACGTGTCTGTAATTTATGGAAGTCGTAGAAAATATTAAAAATAAAGTGATGAAATTGAGTACCGTTGCGAGTCATTTTGTACGTTATCAAATTTCTCTTGTCTAATTGTGTCTTTGTTTGTAAGTCCTTTGCACTACCAACAAATCCCTGGTTTAAGAAAGTAGGTATTGGTAGTGATTTGTTTAATATTGAAGTTTTTTTCTTTGTTGTATAAGATTATGTTTAGTGAGTTTCTCTTTATGAGCGAAATTGTTTTATTAATTTTTTAATGTTCGAAAAATAATACACATGAAACCTACAGTATCGTGTTCCACACAAGGAAAAAGCAAATATGTCTCAGCTCTTATTTATACAGGATGGTTCGGGTGAGATAACTATGTTGAACGGTGTAGTTCTTTTATTTTTATTCTATTCTAGTTTTAAATGCTAAAAAAATTAAAACTTGTGAAATGTATTTTGGGTTGCCGCTCACTCAGTCATCTTAGCTGAATCACCCCGATTTTATATTTCTTCTCGACGGCAGAAAACTTTGTGTGGAATAAATTTTGCACGCATTAAGTTATTTTTGTTGTTAAAGTTCAAAATTCTCATATCGACCTCGACCAATTAAAATCATTTTATATTTATAATCATTTTCATAATATTAAAACACATTTCTTTGCTTATGTAATTTTTAACAAGTATGACGGTAAGTTACGATCCAAGACGCGCAGTACTTTTTTTACTTGGAATATAAAATAAAGTTTATTCAATTTGTCATCAAATATTTCTGTTTGCTACTATAAGCCTTCAGTATCTTCACTATGTTTTTGTAAGTAATTTTGTTTTTTGTTATTTTGATAGGTATTTTTGGTACGGAACTTAATATCAATTACGCCGCTATTCGTTATAATTATCATCATTTTCGGTGAAATCCGCTTAAAGGATCAAAGTTGACTTTCATATTTCTCGGGGAGTTCTCATGTCAGAATTGCGTTGTTGAATGACGAAACTTATTAACATATTTTTATTTGTTTCTATTTTAAAAACCTCAGAAAATCGATACAATTTGAACTACGATTCGGTAAGCAAATCATGTTGATTTAAATAATAAAGTCACGTCATCTTTAAAGATTTTTATTCCTCAATTGTTCAATTATTGTTAATTTTATCGGGTTATTTACAAAGTGATCTTAGCCTTGACACTCCTCTAGTACTTTTTGCTTCGCCATTATGCGTTTTTTAATACATTTTTTTCTATTCGGTTATATTTCCAATGGTTATTATTTCTTCCGTGTCTAACATTACGTTTTGTTCGTCGCCGTAACAATTTTAGCATCTTTTCAATCAATGCGAAGAACAAACATACACGTAAGCAAACTCGTTCTATTAATATTAATGTGTTTGGATTGAAATTGCTTTATCTTTATTCTATTTTAAGTCAAATCGCTTCGTCTAAAATTAGTATCAATTGTTCTTGTCGTTCGGTCGTAAACAATGTTAATAAGTGCGTAATAAATCTCGGTATAGTGTAGAAAAGCGACCATATTGAGTGTGAGTGGGTAACACGTGAACTATCTAATGTTTGCATTCCGTAGGTCAACGCGCGACCACGGCAAATGCATCAGCGGAGGCTCCGACTGACAAACATGTGGTGGACGGCGGCGCTGTAAACGTATCGACGGTGGCCGAGCCGGCCCTCCAAGCTCACCACCAAACGGCTGAAGAAGCCCCGGCCGAAGAAACGGCCCCCAACACGAACGCCACCAACGTGATACCCACCAGCCCTCAATACGGCGTTGCTATCATACCGACCAACGTCAGCATCGCGGATTTACCCACAGAGACTGTAACGATATCGACCGATTCGGTTATCGATACCACGGCGAAGCCCCCCGACGATCCCAAAGATCTGCACTCGACTCCGAGTCGAAACGACCGCTTCAAAGTTGTCAAAATCGCCAGCTTGGAACCGTTTAAGCGCGGCCGATGGAAATGCATGGATTACGTCGACGAGGCGCCGCCCCCCATAACTCAACCGAGTAAAGTCACTCAATCTACAGGGAGCATCTCGGTGCCGGCCGGAGGGGTGTATCTTCAAACCCAAAGTTTGCCTCAGCAGCAAATCCAGCAGATGCTCCTCCAGAGCGGCTTCACCAACGGGACGCAGTTTTTTCCTAACGTTCAAGCCCAAATGATACCCCAAACTCAGTATTTCTACCCCCCGAATAACCTCCAAACGCAGACATTGCCCCAGCAGTTAGTGAATACGTCAGGTGTGCCTAGCAGTATGCCGGCACAGTTTATAAACGCATCGCAACCGTATTTTGCGACGGGAGTTGTGCAAAATTCGGGATTTGCGATACCTCCAAACTACCAAAATGTTCAATATGTCCCCGCGAACCTTTTACAGAATCAAGGTAGTGCGTTCGTGCCGACGTCACAGACTGTGCAATTACCGGCGAATTTCCAACAAAGTCAGACTTACGCGGGACAACCGAACGTGACGGCGCCGATGGTCAACGGGCACGCTTTTCCTCAACAAAACGAACAACAAGTCACTTCGAGCAGTTTGCCAACACAAGCTGCCAAAAGTGTGATCCTCAATACTAGCGTACAGCAACCTGTAGTGAGTCAAGCGCAGATTTCGCAACCGAACATCCAGAACCAAATACCGGTGGTGCAGAGTAGTACCCAGAGTCAGTCAGTTCCTGTCATACAAAACCAGCAGTACCAACAAAACACGAATTTTCAGCAAGTACCGACTCAGACACAAAACTCGCAAGTACAGAACGTGATTCAGAATACTCAGGTTTTTGACCAGAACCAAACGACAACTAAGGTGGTACCAACGGCGGGTGTATTTGACCAAAATCAGACGCCTCAAGTCGTTTCAGTTTCGGCGATACTGGACAAGAATCAGGCGAATAACGTGTATACGAATCCTCAGTTCGATATGAACGTTAATAGTTTGACGGTGCTCGAGAATCAGGAAGCTTCAGCCGAGGCCGTCAATGAGACGAATAGCGGAACCGAAGTGAATTCGGAGAATCCGGACGATCCCTCTAAGACTAATCCGGTGGTTAACGCAATTGATAATAAAATCGAACAAGCCATGGATTTGGTCAAGAGTCACTTGATGTATACGGTTAGAGAGGAAGTGGAAGTGCTCAAGGAGAAAATCGCAGAGTTGATGGAAAAGATTCAACAGTTGGAAACTGAAAATAATTTCCTCAGGTCGCAAATTCCCAAGAGCCAGGCTCCAGGAACGGCGACCCCAATTTTGACAACCACTTCGACTCCAATGGTCAATCCGACCACGACTACTACTACAAGCACTGCACCAAACGAAACGACTCAGCAGTAGTTTGATAGTTAGGCGTAGAAGGAAAATACTCGGACTTTAGCTTGGATATCCTTTTAATCCTTTATTACTTTTGGCAAGTTTTGTCATTAGTGAAGTATTTGTTTAGCCTGAAACAGTGATATAAGTTACGGCTTTGGTTTCAATTTTCGGTGTGACACTGCCATGTTCTAAATGTAAGAGTTTGAACTCTGTTTAGTTTTTGCAAAACGCTTTGCTACCCGGGATTGGAGGTTTGAATTCTGATTGGCCGATGCTGTAGTGTGAATTGTAAATTATGTAAAATTTTGTAAAGTATGTAAATAAAACTGGTCCTCGCCTCGGCTTAAATTTCAATTATCAAATTATTTCACGGCTTAGGGCCAGGAATAGGACTTCAAAATGAGGAGAAAGCCAAATTTTTTGAATTTGGTGCTATTTGAAACTGTGATTTACATCATTTTTTGTTCGTTGCATAAAATTAAATTGCTACTGTTACAATATCACTATTTTTGTAATAATTCGATTGAATAGGGTAATGTCAGTGCAGTGGAATATTTTGTCATTTAGTGTAGATATCGTAATGTATACTCATCTATTGCAGCTTCATCTGTCCCAGTCTTCAACTTGGGTTTTTTTTTATTGAAGTACTAAAGTAGTGCTACATTTTTGTTTTACTATATGATTCTGTGTGAGATTTATAGCGTAATTAGCTCACTTACATGTCTCAAGATGATATAGATGTCTTAGGGAAAATTTAGGAAATCTGATTAAAATATGAGAGCGTAGAAGATTATGGCTGTGTTAACGATAAAAATTGTTTCTTTCTGTAAAGAACATAGAGGAATATTAGAATGTTTAATATAAAACTGGACTGCACGATACGACTAAAAGTGTATTTTTTACACATTTTTATGTATAACAATTGATACATAAGATATTTATTCATTTCTCAAGTCCAGCACATTTACGTGAATTTTGTAATTTTTGTTGTGTTGTATGAATTATTTATTTTTTATTCAGATACCATTGTATTCAATTTCATTTAAAAACTAATCTTTAATATATTTCGGAACCTTTTTACAAAAATCATCCTCCTCGACTGATTTTTATTTATAACTTCTTTAAAAAGCATTTTATTTTCAAAGTAAAAACCGAGCGAAAAATTAATGGGAGAATTAATTTTGTAATAAGGTTACAAAACGTTCGTATTTTATTACACATATTACAGAATATAAATATAATATATAATAAATATTATTAAAATTATGCTGTTATCTTATTTCAGGCATGATTTTTAGTATGTGCGGTCTTATGATGAGACTCAAGTGGTGTGCCTGGGTGGCTTTGTACTGTTCTTGCATCAGTTTTGCCAACTCTCGACTGTCGGACGACACGAAACAGGTATTGCATTGATTTTCATATCATTTCTAACAAAAAAATCTTGATTGCTGTATTGCCGTTTTTTAGTGACCTCGGTTACTTTTACAGTTTGAAGGATCTTTGTTCACGTTCTGAGAACTTAGATCTAATAATGACTAATTAATTAATCAATAAAGTAATGATACCGGTTGAGGAAAAATCAGTCCGACTTTGACCTGGTTTTTCAATAAAATAATCTGTTTTATACCTACTGTTATCTAATAGTGATCGTAATAGTTTGCCAAGTCAGCTGTAACAATAAAAAAATTGCATCCTGCATTTGCAAAGTGAGAGTGGCCGCTCATTTAAGATTCTGTTTCCTGAAAAATATATCACCGTGTCTTGTTTTTCAGATTTTAAGTTCCTTCATGTTGTCCATATCAGCTATAGTCATGTCTTACCTCCAGAACCCGCAGCCGATGACTCCACCATGGGCTTCATCAGTGAATTGAAACAATTGTTAAAAACATTCAAATTTAATAAAGTATGTACAAAAATAAAATTTATTTCCTAATACACAACCGTTTACGTTTTAAATAATTAAATGGCACCATTTACAAAGCAACGTCTCTGTATTTCTGCACATCGTCAGCAGACGCATTACTTAACGAGTTTTTACTACTCAACTTATCGACTTGTTTTTTATAAATGAGAAAATCGGGGCCGTCCAAAGGGCCATAATAAATTGGCACCCCATAATTGGGAATTGGTTGTGCGTAAAAACCAGTCCGGTTCTTGATCACATGACTGGATTTGTTGAAGTCATTTAGGGCATCCACGGAGGCGTATTTGTGCATCCTGGGGGGACTTGCGTTGAAATTTGGGATAATGGCGCTGCTTGTCTCTGTGATACTCTTGGATATCATCGATGGGAAATTTATTTTGTCTTCACTGTCGTCGAGAATCCTTAAATCCATCAAGGATTGAGTTTTTTTATCTGGAAAAAAACATGAAGTCAATCAAGTTTCAAAAAATTATAACGCCGTACTTAAACTCATGTCGTTATTGATGTAATTTGGCATGAAAACGCTCGCATTAAATTCGCTTTGCGTCGTGCAGAATTGAAATCCGTCGAATTGAACCGTTGCCAGGTTGTTGGGCATTGAGTTACTCCAAATTTGAGGATTGGAGGCAGCTCTGCAACAATTGGTTTTGATACAAATAAATCAGTTGGAAAAATCGTACCGTTTGAGCCCCATACTCATCTCCTCGCAATTGTCATAAGCGTTGTTTTGGTAATACTGCGAGTTAAGTGACGCTAGGGACTCCCGTGGTATCGGAATGGGGGCCATAGTCAAGTCCCTTAATCGCTTTTCAAGAATTTCTTCGTCTTTCCAAGTCGTGTAGAGAGACTGAATTAAGATTAATTGTATCACATTTACTACAATCCGGACTAACCAACTCGCTAATTCTGTTATTCCATATAAAGTTTCGATTCTCTGTAAAGCCGGTGTTAATTACTTTCGCTTGATTCGAATGAAAAAAGAACTTACCCAGTACTGGATGCTCATGTAAATGACTAAACCAGCTTCTGGGAACGTTAATATTGTCACAGAGAACATCCAAGCGATGAGACAAAGAGTATTTTTCTAGAATTGGAAAAATATTACGTGCATAGGTGTGTTGCATTCAATGCGTTAAATTATGCAATTATTTATCTTTATTTCGACTCTCACTTTTAACTGCAGTTTTTAGTGAAGACCGGCTTGCGATTATGTGTCATACAACTGTTCTAAAATCGGACGTTTAACACCTGGCGTGGAAAGTGCCGAATTCGCACTAACAATTAATTAATTTAAAAAATATAAATTGATTATTTCAATTCACACTTCCTCTTCATGGAATCGTGAAAGTGGTCATTAAATCTATATTAATAGTCCAGCACGTGAAAGCTTTCTTTTAAGATATATTGACTTGTATTAGATGTAGACACACGCTGGTGAAAAAGTATTAGAAGGGAGAGGAACAAGAAGAGAAAAATTTGCATATAAATCTATTATTACCGTCGCTAATCCGTGGATTAGCAATGCTGCAAACAGGGCCATTGTGAAATATCCTGCACATAACAAGACTGCTGCGGCAGGCAAGGCCACCAAGGACTCCAGAATCCATAATAACTCAAAAGCAAAGGCTATCAGGTACGCGATCTGAAACAAACAATTCAAATATTGAGAAAATGCGGAAATTTTATCAACTTAAACGCTTGGTTTAGTTTGATTAATTAGACAATTAGAGCAAATGAGGGATTATGTTGTTGCTGTTACGGTCGTAAATAAGTTCATCGACTCCGTATGAAATTGGCACTATAAAATATCTCCACATTTTGGTATACATTTTGTATTTTGAATGTTTTGGTGTCCCTATTTAGTGGTACGAGTACCTCGAATCCTAATTTGATGAACAACAAAGCTCTTGGCTCGAAATTACAAAAATTTGTTTGTCAACTAAATAATAAATGGTGTCTCGGATTATTCAGGGTTCAAGAAAAGTCCTATGACCTACTTCTAAAACTGCAATTAATATTTTAGATAATTCAGCAAGGGGATTTTATTTTCTTTTAAATAGAGCCCCCAAGCCCGAGAATAACTTATCATCATGGTTTTTGGTTTGAGGTTTATTGAAAAAGTCCAATCCAACTGATTATTTTTGTAAATCCCGAAGATGGGGTAAAAAATCAATCAACCGAAAAAAAGAACTGGTACCTCTGCTAATACAAGATACAAAATGTATTAGAATGAAAAAAAAAACGGAAAAGTATTTATCGCATATTCTGCTAGACGTAGATTTTCTAAAAAATCCTGCACATGTTCCGTTAAAATGTGATGGTACCTCTGGGCATTAAATAACTATTTTACGTACTCCTTTATTGAGTCCGAAACTCATTTTGGGGATTTAAATTTGTCCATAATAAAATACCTGATGGCTATTTTTGGGAGCGTATACAAAAAATAATTACGAAATGTATTGTGAACAGGTATATAGTAGCAGAAGAAAAATCGCTTTTAGATGTTTGGTCTTGATAGAAATGTCTTTTATAGAGAGTTTATTATAATATTTAACAGTGAAAGTGATCGTAGTAGTATTTGTCTTGTTTTTGATAACATCCTTTCACTATCAAATAGATCTGTCTGGACAGTCAAGAGATTTTTTTTCTGCAACAATAACAAATATTTCACAAGCGTACGTATTAATTACAGTTCAGTCGTCTTAATTAAATGTGGAAGTTTTTCGGCTTTTGACGTCACTCTTAAATTTTAATGGTTTGGTTTACCGTTTTACGTCTGCTTTAATTATGGTTTATAATTAATTAGGAATAATGAAACAAATTAAAATTCTGATATATGTATTTATAGGAGCATTAATAAATAATTTTTTATTGGACTTGAATGTAGGAAACAATGTCTCTTTTCTCTTCCAAGTGCCCACATAATGTTCTATAGCCTTTTATGTTTCCGTTGATTCACAGGACAGTAATGTAACTGTCTACCTAACACGTGAATTGACAATCAATTTAATGTAGCTATGTAGTTTATTGTCTTTTAACCACCTTGAAACCTAGATACGAAGAACTTAATTGAACTATTTAAATTTTAAATAAGTCTTGATTATTGATGAGTACCTATGTAGAGAAAGAAAACTTGTATAGTCTATTAAATTCAGCTACTACAAAAATTTCTAATTGCGATAATCACATCAAAAACGTGAATTAATTTGTGGTCGATACGCACCATTTGCTAAACTTTGTTTTCTATTTGATTTCTCAAATTTATAAAAACTTGGCGTTTAATAGAAATGAATAATTAGCTTCTATTTCCACGCAATAACGCCCACTGTCTCCTACTGGTGAAACCTTGAAAAAATCATAACTGCTGATTTTACCTTGTTTCAGGATATTACGGTGAAAGTAAATTTGTTTTGAAATAAAGATGAACAATGGGTGTTTTTTTAAGATGACATCGTATTTTGGTGAGAAAATTGGAATTAAATATGTCCTAAACGTTGTTGTGGGATTGCTACTTGCACAATTTCGTCTATGAAGGTTTTTCCCACTTCGTTTTAAATATGCATTTGTTTAGATGTTTATAAATAATTTATTTTACGAGACACAGAGTTTTATTTGTTTACATTTAAAAGTCACTTTAATAAGCAACATGTTTTTTTATTGTAGACGTACTACAAGATTTTATTTTAATTTTTTTGGTTTTCGATTGTCTCAAACAATAACAAGGGAAATTTGTAATAAATGAATATTAATTGATTTTATAAGTATTTGGTTGTCTGTATCTGGTTGACAGATTCGCACATTTTTTTTACAAAAATATAATGAACGATAATTGAAACGATGATCGATATTGCAGGAAAGTGTTTATCTAACTACCGATATCGATGTCAATTACTATGAAGAAAGCAAATTAACACTCTCGTAATATCGTATGTGATCATTTTATTGCATATTCAATTTTTAATGTCTTACTGAAAGTAGAATTAGGTATATGCAGAAATATAGGTGTTTACAATAATAATTAATTTCCTTTTGTTAAGTATGTTGACTTTGACTATATTCTTCCATAAAAGTTAAATTTTCATGGTCAATTCCTGCTTTAAATGTCAATATTCACAAGACTCATATTATATTACATGTTTTTTCTAAAATATTTTCCAAATATACATAGTTCTTTTTTTTCTCACTCATTAGCTACGTTATTTATCTAATTATTGGTACTACGTATTCAACAGTAATTACCAGAAGATAAACTGCAAAAAATCCGGACGCTATTGCTAAGCTGCAGCAGAAACACGATCGCACTAGAGCCATTTTCATTAATTTGCACTACATTTTGATTTCACATCACATTTTTAAAATTGCACTGTTTTTACACTTTCACTGTTTTGGTAACTCCCGCGTAATATTTTTTTCCGATAAGTTTACACTTTCACATTCAAAATAATTTTCTTTTATGTAAGACATAAACGTGTATGTTTAAATTATTTTCAAAACCATTGTTGTTTCTCTGTAACCTTCGAGACTGGAGTGGTTCCTACCATGGGTGAGGTAAGAATGAATGAGTAATCGAGTGCCGTGTTATTCGCAAGCACATTTGAATATTTTGTTCACGTGCGTGCTTACTTTCTCTTAAGGTGATCTTCTGGTAACGATTTAAACAAAATTGTAGGCAACCAGTTTTACGCAGTTGTTATGTGTAAAATAAAACAGTTTTAGAATTAATAGTATTTTACTTCCGATATTACATTAGAGGTAAATGAAACAAAGAGAAGGTTTTAATTTATATTTGCCACTTCTAAATGAACAGTTTGTAATGTTGGACTTAACATAGAAAATGCTGCTATTGCGACTACTCTCCTAGGTCGTAGATCTTCAATGATGCCCTGCAGCTTCTTTGCGGCGGATTTCAGCCCATTTAGCAACGTTTTCAGGTGAATTTGCTAAAGAAATAATTATGTAATTATGGAAGAGATGAGACAAATATACATACATAATTTGCTGATCTTTGCAAAAATTGGGATGCACAGGAGAACTGCAAGAGGATAGTACCTCCAAACCCAGCTGTGCTTCATGTGGTGTTTAAATGGAAATTGGGCAATTTTTGCGGAAAAAGTGTACGGGAATTTCATGGGTCTTGAAACTTTTGCAGCTTTGTCGGCCATCGTGCCTGGTCTCACCTATGATTATTAAATATTCGGAAAAAAAATATAAAATTAAAAAATAATGTTATGTAAAACTCCTTAATCAGATTATGTTGCCGTTTATGTAATCACCGTCTAGTGAGGGTGACATTGAACAATGCGTTCTATTAGCTGTGATTGTAAGGTATCAAGCTGATAACAGAGTAATAGCTTCATTGTTTTAGAATATGTACGGCCTATTGATTTCACTTTATGAATTTTTGTAAGAAATATTCACCTGATTATCCAAAATGTCACGAAACCTAACCTATTACACCTGGATGGACCTGCGCACTATATAATACCAACCTTACAAATAGTTTGTCCCTATAATTTTCATTTTATTTTATATCAATTTTTTGCAAAAATGATTGATTGGTTGTATTTATAACAGCAAATGAGAAATAAAAATCAATTTAACATATAGATTTCTTTGTTATTTCTAAATCTAAACCTTTACCATCCACCTCCCAAACAAAAGTAATTTGTAGTACTTTGCACCAATCATTGCAGAAAAAAATAACTATTCACATAAAAAAGCCGCGAAATGTGCCAGTTTTAATAACCTATAATAAAAATTAAGCAACTTTTTAATAAATTTACTTTGGCTGAGAAATATAAACAAAAAATAACATGCATCTTGTATCTGTGGTGGCTCAAATTACAAAATATATTTTAAAAATTATGGATTTTTTAATTTTCCACATAGTCAATCAAATTATTGTTTTACAATTTCAAGAATCAGAAGAAATATCAACAAATAAAGGTAAATAATAGATAGTAATAATTTAATGTTAAATTAATTAATTATGCACCTATTTCTTCTTCATCATCGTTTAAATCTTTCATACGATTATTATTATTTCACGAGTAGATAATCTTCCTACTTAATTATTACCTACCTTTCTTGGTTTCACGTCAACGTGTGCCTACATACCATTTGTCAAGAATAACCTTCCACTTGGGTCATATTAGATATGTATGTACATACAATGGCGAGCAAACACTACACCAAAAACACTAATTAACAAATATTTTATTGTGTCGCCAGTCTCCAACTTCAACAAAGTGAAAATAAGTACCATGCTGGAGAGAGGATGGATTTTTTGAAGTTGAGGTAGCTGATCAGTTGGGACTCGTAAGAAGTTCCGTCAATTTCAAGACATTTCCGTCAATTTCGAAACATTTTTGAATGAAACTAAAGTCTAAAGTGATTGGCTTTTCCATGGTTACTCACATTTAATGATGGCCGACCTTAAACGCACCAATCACATCATTGCATTAATTTTTGAATGAATCCAAAAATCTAAAGTGATTGGTTTTTTTACATTAAAATGATGGCCGACCTTAAAACTCTCCAATCACAATGCTTACAAATTTTACACCAATCCTTACGTTAATTCCTTATTTTTTTAGTCTAATTATAACAAATAGAGTGCAAAAAAGATAATAAAAATGTAAAAACACCGCATTGTGGGAAATTTTATAAGCTTTAATTTTGTACATAAATATTTTTTTCGTAACACGTATCTTTGTGTGGATATAAAGAGAAAAATCATAAGATGCCGCCACCTTATTGGTGTCTTCCTGGGCCCCGCTCACATTGCGGAGGACCGGAGATTTCTAGTATATCCTAGTATATTAACCCCTAACTAACACAAATGCAGTCCTGAAGTCAAAAATTCTGTTCTCGACCGTGCATTAGGTATACAACTTGCTCATTGACTGAACAATCACAAAATTAAGTAATCAGTTGAAAACTCTTACAAAAATCGTTTACTTGATTAAAAAAAAACAATTTATACAATAAAATAGACTGTTTTAGACTATCTTAAAATAGGTATGTATATAACACGATAGCAATTTTTGATCATTTGCAAATCATTTCTGACTTTTATTTTATTAAAAATTTTTTTTTTTAAGATGACGTAGCAGATAAGTTGGGTCTCGTAAGAAGTTCCGTCAATTTCAAGACAGCTATTTGACGTTCACAAGTTCGTTTCACATGAGAGCATGTGACATTGATGACTACCAAAATTTAATGCTCGCCATTGAATGTATGTACATACCTTTACACGTAGTAGGTTGTTTACCTAACGTATTCTAGTCACGTGAACAAATTTTGGGACTTTTGTTCTTTCGTTTCGTACTTTTGATTTGCATATATTTCTAGTTGGTATTATTATGCGATAAAAGGTACAATTTTCTATCTATAGAGTGCCCGTTTTTCCAACTCCACCATGGCGTTGAATGAGTACACCATTGAGATGTGAGGTCTATTAAATTAGGTCAAAGTTGCGTATTTTTAATAATTGTCTGAAAGAAAATTTGATCTGGCCTTTTTTGTTTTTGAATTACTAGAAAAAACAGAAATTTGTAATTTGTATCTGTTATATTAACTGAGATCCTCATGGTGGAGCTCGAAAAACGGACACCTTGTATAATTAGAACTACTTTGGCAGGATAGTAAAGTTAAGGGTAAAAACATTTATGGTTATTATCATTTCCCATTAGGTGACCAACTTCAGAAAATTCAAAATTAATAATTTTGAATTAATAATAAAAATAATAATAATTAATAATAAAAATAATTATAATAAATTTATTCCAGAATACAAAAAATAGGTCTTATTAAATGTATCTGTATAAAAAATATAATATTGACATAAAAAACAAAAAACAATTTTTGGACCCTAATCTAATAATTAACATACCTACTAATTTATTGTTTTGTGTTAATTACATTTTTTTTTCTGTATGAATTGGTTTGGGAGTTCTTTAATTCTCTGCAAACATTTTACAAAAGATTTTTAAGTAGGTAAGTATTTCTACTTTTAGTTGAGTTTTTTCACAATTGAAATGACGATAAAAAGAAAACTTTAGCTAAAAAGACACTTTGTTTTCGCTGCAAAGAAAAAAAAACTGTACACTTAAGTGTGTTAGTCTTTAAATCGCGACAAATCAGGACCCAAATGTAAAACAGGACAAGATAATAAAACCTAAACATGTCCTGGCTAAATCAGGACGGTTGGTCACCTTAATGCTAAGTTAGTAATTATAGCTCTTTATATATAGTTCTTTAGTCTTTAGTCTTTTATTATTATGCTTACCATTTTATTACAATATATTTATTTGTGATTTTTGAATCATGTTGGCTGAAATTAACGCATTTTTAAATCGTTTTTTTTTCAATTGATAAACATTTTACATAAATTTACTGAAAATACAGAAATTATTAGGTGGTAAAAATGGAAATAATGAAAACAATTTTGTTGTCTCGCAGATTTGTGGGTAAGCAGTCTCAAGATTTTAAACTACACCAAACACTTTTAGTTTGACAATACATTACATTTATCATTTCAAAACGTTATTGTGACAGTCAAGCAGCAACTTGAATGCAATTCTGAATGATCCTTGTAGGCAGACAAAAAAATTCTTATTAAAATAAGTAAAAATGTATGTAGAATCCATATTATTAGTAAAGTCCAAAATATTTATCAAGTTTTTGGAATAATAAAATAATATTTGTAATTATAAAAAAAGTTGATCAAATTGTGTTGCACTCAATAAAAGTTTAAGTTTACTATTCATAATTTTAAACAAATTATTAGATGTTTTTCAACTACATTCATAAATAAAACTGTCAATTGTACTAAAAGCAAAATATTGTGTAAAAAAGTTATTTGTACCTAACTATTTGTTATTCCCCATTTGAAATTTATTGTTTATTAGTTTTACTGTTTTACGCAATATAAGGCAAGATAAAACAACAAGATTTGAGAAATAAATATGTAAAAACATTCGAGATGTCGAAAGCGTACAATAATAATTATAATTATTTTTATCTGCATTAAACCAGTAATTTTATAAAAAAGTATAACCCTTGTGACATATTTCTTTATACCAGTTATTTATCTGCAAAAATACACTTCTGTATTTTTAATATGATTCTGTCATGAAATTACGGAAAAATGGATTGCCACTATAAACTTAGCTGGATAGTATGAAATTTGAGATAGTACTTTCTGCTCTTTATTCTTTAGTTTTAGAATTGATATACATAATAGCACAATGTTTCATAGTAATTTGAAATGATACGGCAATTTTTAAGCAGTTAAGTAATTTTTGTAGTTATTTCTAAGAAAATAATATACGATTACTTGAACGTAATTGTCTATTTTTCATGATTTATATCAGTGTTATGCGATAGCCTTTTTAACCTTTCCGCTCTTTAGCTTTCTTTGATTATCTTGTTTCTTTGGATAAATTTCATTTGCTTTCAATTCTTTGTCAATTCCAGACCGTTTTTTAAGAATGGCATCCACTGATGTAATTGGACAAGTTTTATCAGGGACACTAGTGGCTAAGTAATTTTTTTTTACAATTTCGTAAAGTTATTCCCTTCTAATTTCTATTTTAGACAGCTTACAGATAAACTCACCCAAGATGTAGCCAGACTTAAACAACGACTACCGGGCTTTGAGCCCGGTTTAGCAATTGTTCAAGTCGGTGGTCGAGAGGATTCAAATGTCTACATTAGAATGAAAATTAAAACTGCTTCTCAAATTGGTATTAAAGCACTTCATGTTAAATTACCTCAAACTACAACTGAAGGAGAGGTCAGTGTCAAATAATAAAGTGGGACCAAAGACTAAAAAAAACTTTCAGCTACTTTCAAAATTGGAAGCGCTAAACGATGATCCCAACATTCATGGCATTATAGTACAAATGCCTCTTGATTCAACTACCAAAATTGACTCTCATTTAATTACAGACGCAGTATCACCCGAAAAAGATGTAGACGGGTAGGCACATAATATTTTTTTCTCCTACTTCAAGTGAGTAATTTTTTTTAGTTTAAATACTTTAAATGAGGGTCGAACGGCCGTCGGTGACTTATTATCTTTCATACCTTGCACCCCTAATGGCATTATGGAACTTATTAGACATACCGGAATCAAAGTTGAAGGTGCCGAAGCGGTAGTTTTGGGAAGGAGTAAAATTGTGGGTACTCCTGTTGGTGAACTTTTAAAATGGGCTCACGCTACTGTAACAATTTGCCACTCAAGAACTAAAAACTTAGAAGAAACGGTAATAAATATTCTAATTTTGATACTATTGTAGCTACATCATACGAAATTTAAATAGTCATAATTTTATCTTAAAGAAAACATCTTTCTTATCTTATTATTGGTATTTAAAGAATTTTTCAAACAATGAATAATCAACACAAATGTTATTACTCATATGGATATTTTAGTGCAAAAGAGCCGATATTTTGGTGGTAGCGGTAGGAAAACCGGGATTGGTAAAAGGAAGTTGGGTCAAGAAGGGGGCTGTGGTGATTGACTGTGGCATCAACGCTATTCCAGGTAAGAAAAATTGTTAATGCTTTAATAACTGGAAATCAGATGTCAATGTGTCAATAATCTCAAACATAATTGATCGAATATTATTTTTAAAATTATTAAATCGCTCAAATAATACATAGAAGAGTAATTTAGGTGCGTTATAACTTATAAGTTCGGTAAGACAAATATTACCTACAGTACAAATGAGATATTTAAGGATTAGGCGACGAAGGAATTGAGTATCGAAATGATGTAGGTGCGTAATGTATTTTTTCTAAGATCCTAATAGAAGCTTTTCCACCCTAATTTCAGAAAAGAAAGTAGCAAATTACCTCCCAGGGAGGTAAACATTTTACTTTCCTCAGATGTCAAAATTGCATTAAAAATATGTGTAACCTCTCAGGGAAGTAAAAATTTTACCTCGCGCATAGAAGCGGAAACACATGCTGCTAGATATCAAGAAAAATTGTTAGTTTCTAAGTTTTTCTTGCTGGATCATAGGAAAAATTATATGCATTACACCGAAGGAAAGTATCTTTTCCTCCCTTGTATCACAAATAACTATTATTTTATACTGTTTCGAGAAATTTTGCCAAATTGATGTTATTATGTCAAAAATCACAATCCGGTAAGTGTGGTTACACTTATAATATAAAAACTATGTTACTAAAGATTTATTCATTATTGTTTATTGATTGGATATTTGTGAAAAAATATTAATTATATTCTGATAATTCTTAAATTATGCAATTATTCTATTTCTCCTTGCAAGAAATTTCAGCGCCAAATTATGGTGTTATTTTTACCTGAATTCAAATTGGGTGCAACAAGGGGGATGAGTAGGTTTGGTGAGGGAAATCACAAATTACATTGACCTTCAACAAGTAGGTACAAATTGTTTAAGTAAAAGTTCTAAGTAGACTATTTAATTACACTTCGGACACGTATTTATCTTGCAACTTTGCATCATAAAGTGTTATTTTGTTCTTACATTTCTAACAGCAAATCACCTACCGAAATGGATCCAAATTCTGAAGGTATGTTGCAAATTTTTACTTGATTGTTGACAAATTGCAGGAGTGTGTGTTGGAAAAGACATTTTTCATGTTTTTTTATTTTGTTCTGCCTTAATTCAAATAATGGAAAATTAAAATAATTATACGAGTACTAGACTGTTTTCGAAATTGACATAAGTGGACTTTTAAAATGCAATTTAATATTTGTTTCCTTGATTTATTATTAGCTGCAAGCTACGTCGTATTTGATTTTTGTACTGAATAAATTTTTAACAAAATATTTATAAATAAGCTGATGTTATGCCTTTAGTTCTGGAGATGCATTACAACATTTTAACAACATCTTACTACACTTACTTAAAATAAAATACAATTTGTGAATTAAAATTGGTAAAAAAGTTTTTCTAATTGTTTACATAATGATGTACCTATTAATTGTAAAAACAAAGTCAAATAGTTAATAATCTGAGGAAACATTTTAACGTAAGTGGAGATTCGAGGTCAGATATTGATTTTGCAAAGATGTATGTATATTTTTTAAGTAGGTACTTATAATCTTAGGAAATGCAATACCTTTCGTCTGACTGATAAAGAAAAAACAAACATTATTATAGTCTCGGTTATAGTTATGAGTGTTATGACACATACCTAGGCTAATTATATATTTGGATCTTGAAATGACCATTACAGCAACATTGTAAAATGTAAACTATTTAGAAGGTGAACATAAAATTAAAACAGAAAAATAAAATATAACTTCTTCATAAGTCATTTAATAAATGTAGAGGGTTCTTGGTGAATTTATGGAAGCTATTTTACATAGTTATAGTTTTCTTTGACACAAAATATAAAAGAAAAACTCTTTATTTGACATGAATTTACCTTGAAACAACAAAATTGTAGATCCCACCAAAAAATCCGGCCAAAAACTCGTCGGCGATGTCGATTATGAATCCGCCAGCAAGGTAGCCTCCTACATCACACCAGTTCCTGGAGGTGTAGGCCCCATGACTGTGGCTATGTTAATGAAAAACACTGTACAAAGCGCTCAAAAAGCTGTCAACACGCTATTAAATGCAAAATGGAATTTGCGTATTATTCACATGAAACCCCAAAAACCAGTCCCAAGGTATACCCAGTCTCCACAATATCGTTCATTTTTTCACAAAGTAAAATTTAGGGACATCGATATAGCTCGAGCACAGCAACCCGTTAATATTCAGAGTTTGGCACAGGATATCGGATTATACCCCAGCGAAATCATTCCCTATGGAAACACCAAAGCTAAAATTTCTTTGTCGGTTTTAGACCGACTGAGTGATCGGAAGAATGCGAAATACATAGCGGTTGTAGGGTAATTGAAATATGACCATGTTGTGACTTTTATTGTTACGAATTTTTTATTAGGATGACACCAACACCGTTGGGAGAAGGCAAAACCACAGTATCGGTTGGTTTAGCACAAGCTTTGTGTGCCCATAAGGGCTACAATGCGATTGTGACTTTGCGACAGCCTTCTTTAGGCCCAACATTTGGCATTAAAGGTAAACAAAAAACAATAAAAAATAACTGTTGAAAAATAACCGATTTTACATGAAACAGGAGGTGCAGCGGGTGGTGGCTATGCCCAAGTGATTCCAATGGAAGATTTTAACTTACATTTAACGGGAGATATACATGCCATTACTGCCGCTAATAACTTATTAGCAGCTCAAATTGACGCTAGAATTTTCCACGAAGCTACACAAACCGATACAGCTTTATTCGATCGTTTGGTACCAACACTAAAAGGAACTCGAAAATTTTCCCCAATACAGCTGCGACGACTTAAAAGACTTGGCATTAATAAAACCGATCCTAATTCTTTAACACCTGAAGAGAAAACCAAATTTGCTCGATTAGATATTGACCCAAAATCGATAACTTGGAAGAGGGTCTTAGATATCAGCGATAGGCATTTACGTAAAGTCACTATTGGACAATCCCCAACAGAAAAAGGTCTCACACGCGAAACCAGTTTTACGATAGCTGTAGCAAGTGAGTTTATGGCAATCCTTGCATTGGCTGCAGACATGCAAGATTTGAAAAAACGAGTATCTAATGTTGTTATTGGTTTCAACAAAAAGAAGGAACCTGTAACTGTTGACGATTTGGGGGCTACGGGGGCTGTTACAGTCCTTCTCAAAGACGCAATGCAACCAAATTTGATGCAAACATTGGAGGGAACTCCTGTTTTGGTTCACGCGGGGCCTTTTGCTAACATAGCTCATGGATGTTCGTCAGTTGTAGGCGATAAAATAGCCTTTAAACTGGCTGGTGAAAGTGGCTATGTTATCACAGAAGGAGGTTTCGGATCTGATATCGGAATGGAGAAACTGTTTGATATTAAATGTCGCACCTCAGGGGATGCCCCTGATTGTGTTGTATTAGTAGCAACAATTCGGGCGTTGAAAATGCACGGGGGTGGCCCCGCTGTCACTCCTGGAGCACCCCTCAAACCTGAATATACCCAGGAAAATGTCGAACTATTGGAAAAGGGACTTCCTAACTTAATTAAACATATAAGCAATGGAAGAAAATTCGGGCTTCCGGTTGTTGTCTGTATAAATCAATTTGAGTAAGTATTTTCCAGGAAGTTACAAAAAAAGATAGCGAGTTGTTTTGCAGAAATGACACTGAGGCTGAAATCCAGTTGGTCCAAAAAGCAGCAAAGGAAAATGGCGCCTTCGACGCTGTTCTCAGCAACCACTGGGCCGAAGGAGGAGCTGGGTCTGTCAAACTAGCGGAAGCAGTCGTTAAAGCTTGCCAACAACCCAGTCAATTCAAACTTTTATACGACTTGAACAAAACTTTAGATGAGAAAATTCAAACAATTGCGAGGGAAATGTACGGGGCTGGGAAAGTCACCTACACTCCTGAAGTATCAGAAAGATTGAAACTTTACGAAGAAAGGGGTTACGGGAAATTACCAATCTGCATGGCCAAAACTTCAATGTCCTTTACCGGGGATCCGAGCATTAAAGGGGCACCAACTGGGTTTGAGCTGAAAGTCTCCGATATTAGTGTTTCCGTGGGTGCGGGATTTGTTGTTCCAATTGCAGGAGAGGTAAAAGAGATTGGGTTTTCGTTTGGGGTGCTCATATTGGGTTGTTTTAGATCTCCACAATGCCAGGGCTGCCAACAAGGCCTGCGTTGTATGATATCGATTATAATATTGAAACCGGAGAAATCGAAGGATTGTTTTAATCGAATATATCAAATGTTAAAAATTTATAGGTGACAAGGGTGACGCTGCTATTTTGTATAAATAATAAAATATCTATAAACGAGATAAATAATTTTATTTCATTTTATTTAATAACCTAAAGCTTGATAAGTAACTGTACAGTGAGCGGCAATATTATGTAATATTCATATTAAAACTGAAAATATTTTGTTGTACACAATTTTCAACTTGATTTAAAATTATACACTTTTTGGTTTTTGAGTAATGACGTCATCGACATTTTTTTTAATGGAAATCCCTAATTTTTTTTTAGCCAATTCGTCGATAGATCTTTTAATTGTCGAAATGACAAAAATATTAAATATTACATAAAGTTTAAAAAAACAATCATCCAAAAAGTTAAATGGAACAAAAAACAAATACGCAATTTTAAACCAAATTGAGAATTTTGTATTTTTTAAAACTGAAAATATTTTTAGTTTTAAGAAATATAATTATTCAATAATTTTGCAGCTTACTGTATAAAGAAAAATAACCTCTGTGATTGGTTTTAAGTAGTTTCATCCGTTATTGCAAAAATTCCCAAAAAGCAAGACTGATCTTAATCTCGAAAATTTTGTGCAATTTTTTATCTATTAATGTGATCAGATTTTGAAATTAATTTAATTTCTTGGTATCTGATTATTCTAATTTCATGTTTGATTATGACACTGAAATGTCAATACCCGTTGCTAAAAAGCTATATAAACTTTCGTCAACCAACAGATAACCCAAAATGCGGTTCAGAATATTTTGAAATCAGTGTTGTGAAGATTACGTCTAGTGAAACCAAGCATAATAAATGGTAAGCAATACAATAAAAGTTGCTCTGCAAAAATGCAAAAAATTATTGGTTTTTCTTTTTCCATTTAATTATTTACTTATACATGTTTAATTTTTTTTTAAGTTTATGTTCCTAATTATTAATAATAATTTACTCTTTGTATAAAATAAAGCACGTTGATATAATATTTTGTATCATTATGCTTACTACTGATAATTTAGGACGTACGATTTCTTTCTTATTTTTTTACAAAAGGTAAAGTTTATTATTTTTATTCTTTTAGTTATTAGTTTTTGTTTAGGGCTGTTACACATGAGTTATTCTCGTTCGAAAAACTTGTGTAGTAATATAAATTTTGTATCCAAAATTATTCGGTCATAACTATATTCATTTCACCCAACATTTATTTAATGAGAGTAGATTTTTATCAATCGTTTAGCACTCAAGTTGATTGTAAGCAAATTAATTTTACAAAGTGGATCAGTTTAAAAAGATTAGTTTGTGATACTAAAGGAAATTAGAAATTTTAAAATATTGAATATGTAAATAAGAAATACCGAATTATATTAAAAAAAAATATTACAGGTATTGTGAACTCAAAAAAACAAGCGTAATGTTGATGCAAAAAGCTGCTCTAAATCTCAAAAAAGCTGCGGAACGTGTAGTGAACACACGATGGAACTTAACGCCACTTCCTTTGAGAATAGAAAAACCAGTTCCTAGGTAAATATTTCTAATTTGCAAATTTATTTTTATTCTAAATAATGCTCCGTAGCGACATAAAAATTGCGCGTTCCCAACAGCCCAAAAACATTCTAGAGTTAGCTAACGAAATAGGACTGCAACCAAACGAAGTTTTACCGTATGGAACAACAAAAGCGAAAATTTCCCTATCGGTGTTGGACAGACTACAGGACGAACAAAATGCAAAATATGTAATAGTTGTTGGGTAAAAATTCTAATTTTAATTGACTCCCTTAACTTACTGAATAATTTAGCATAACTCCAACACCTTTAGGCGAAGGAAAAAGTACTACTCTAATAGGTTTAGCTCAAGCCCTCAATATTCACAAAGGAGTAAACGCATTTGCTACACTGCGTCAACCCTCCCAAGGACCAACTTTTGGGATAAAAGGTTTACCAAAAAAGTTTTCTTTTCACGTATTATTGTTTAATTAAACAGGAGGTGCTGCCGGTGGCGGTTACGCCCAAGTTATTCCAATGGAAGAGTTTAACTTGCATTTGACGGGGGATTTTCACGCTCTAACAGCTGCAAACAATTTATTAGCAGCGCAGTTAGATGCAAGGATGTTCCATGAAGCTACACAAAATGATCCGGTTTTATACGACCGCTTGGTCCCGACAATTAAAGGAAAAAGGCAATTTTCCGAGATTCAGTTAAGAAGGCTTCAACGACTGGGTATAGATAAGACTGATCCTAATACATTAACTGATGAAGAGAAAACTAGATTTGCGAAACTGGATATTGATCCACTGCGAGTTCTTTGGACTCGAGGTATAATTTCGAAAACGACTTTATTCCTGTTTTATTCTTTATGTTTATAGTTTTGGATACCAATGATAGGTATCTCCGAAAAATCACTATTGGTCAGTCTTCAACTGAAAAGGGAATAACTCGGCAGACCAGCTTCAAAATCACAGTTGCAAGTGAACTTATGGCAATTCTAGCTCTGGCAAAAAATTTACAAGATTTTAAAAGGAGAATAGGATCCATGGTTGTTGCTTTCAACAGAAAGGGTAATCCCATAATTGCTGATGATTTGGGAGTAACGGGAGCCCTTATGGTTCTCTTAAAAGATGCTATCCAACCCAATTTAATGCAAACATTGGAAGGTTCTCCAGTGTTGGTGCACGCAGGGCCTTTCGCAAACATAGCCCACGGATGTTCATCAATTTTAGCCGACAAGTTAGCCCTAAAGTTAGCTGGAGAAGATGGCTATGTCCTTACCGAAGGAGGATTTGGTTCCGATATTGGAATGGAAAAACTGCTAAACATAAAATGTCGAACTTCGGGAGATATTCCCAATTGTGTAGTCTTAGTCACCACGATCCGAGCCCTCAAAATGCATGGAGGAGGCCCCGCTGTTACTCCCGGGGCCCCTCTCAAACCCGAATACACAAAAGAAAACCTCGAACTGGTAAAAAGAGGTCTCCCTAATCTAAATAAGCACATAAGTAATGGCAACAAATTTGGCCTTCCTGTCGTCGTTTGCATAAATTCTTTTGAGTAAGTTTTCCAGGTGACATAATTCTTAAAATGATTCTTAAAATTTTCAGAACTGATACAGAAGCTGAGATCCAGCTGGTCAAAGAAGAAGCAATTAGAAATGGGGCTTTCGGGGCTGCTGTTAGCAATCATTGGGCACAAGGTGGCGCAGGGGCAATAGATTTGGCAGAGCTCGTCATGGATGCTTGTGAAGAAGAAAACAACTTTAAATTTTTATACAATTTAAACGCTTCGTTGGACGAAAAGATCCAAGTTATTTCCAGGGAAATGTACGGTGCGAAAAATGTTGTCTATACGCCAGAAGTGACACAAAAATTGAAAATGTACCAAGAGAAGGGTTACGGCAATTTACCGATTTGTATGGCCAAAACTGCTGCTTCTCTTACGGGAGACCCAAGTATTAAGGGGGCACCCACGGGTTTTGATCTCAGGATAAATGATGTGAGTTTGTCAGCGGGGGCTGGGTTTGTGGTGCCGATTGTAGGAGAGGTAAGTAATTATTTTTTGTAGTTTTTTGTTAATTCTGTGATTGTAGATTTCGACAATGCCAGGTTTACCGACAAGGCCTGCAATTTACGATATCGATATAAATACAGAAAGTGGTGACATTGAAGGACTTTTTTGAATAAATGTAAGAAGAAAGTATTTTGTACTAATTTAATTAATAATAAGAAATAAAATAACAAAAACAAAATGTCAATGAATAAACATTTATTGGCTACATGTATGAACTGAAAAACGTATAAAAGTTAAAAGAAAATAACTGGTAACATAAAAACAAAGTATTGCCAACAAAACAAAATCGGCCAAAATCTTAAAAACTAAATTCACCACAAACGTGATTAAAGTACATAATTATAAGTATGAACTAAGAAAACGTAAAAGCGAAATGAAAATAAATTGTAATATAAAAACGAATTACTGGTAAAAAAATTCAAATTCAAAGTAAACTTAACTTGTTACAAACTAAAATGGCACAAAATTCTAAATGCAAATTATACTCAAAGGAGTATAAAAAGATTTACACCTCACATTCTCTGATTTCGCAACAATAATTAATTTGATCATTATTTGTTTTTTTATAGGTACTAAGATCATCGTATGAAAAAGTGATACCAACATCACTATTTTTTGCAATGTCTTTATTTAAACAGACTACTGATTTAGAAATTTTCCTCTGCTGCACTTGAGCATCTGTGATAGTAATGTTATAATAATATCTGCGATTTTTATCATAATCATTCAAAATGCGAACGTACCAGTTGCAGCTACTGGCTAAACGTTGAAAAGTAAACTTGTACATATTTTCATGTTCAAAGATATATTTTAATTCCATGGTGTTGCTCGCAATTGGAGTAAAAGTTTCTTGAAAAACTGTTGATTCAATCAAGAATTCTCGGTGATTAAGAAAGAAGTGGTTCACACATAGCGAGTAATTGCCGGTAAATTTGCAATCACTGATTGGGCAGGTGTAAATTTTGAATTCGCACACACGTTCATGATGGTCAATGTCATTTCCCAGAAAAGCTCCCTCGCATCCTACGTGGTTGTACACACATGGGTATAGCACAGACGGGGTGACTCCCTCAAGAGAATAGTTCCTAACGTCACTCCAATTTGTACGACATGTGGGGCATTGAGTCACTTTCTGTCTGCAGGAATTGCAAAAACTGTGGCCAGACAGGCATTGATTAATGGGAGGACGCATTAACTCCTTGCAAACGGAACACTCGAGTTGTTTTAATACCGCCTCAGTCATATTTTGGACTTTGCCAGTTTCGATTTTCACTGTCACTGTAATGTTGTTAGTATTCGAGTCCGAGACTTCATTTAAAATTGCAGCACAGATTTTTTTGGCATTGTCAACAGTGGGAAAAGGGTCACGATCCACTGTTATTTTGTATTGGCTGTTTTTTCCAACGTACTTCACACCCACATATTTTCCTTCGCCGCTAAATTTAATTTCTTGAATTGCATTCATTAAACCTCTTTCTTCACCAGATTCCCATATTTTCAAGAGAAATATTTTTTCGTGACCGTTTAGTAATAGTTTTATTACATTTATAGGAGTCTTTGTAATATCGAGTTGAAAAGAAAATTTGTTGAATGAATTTTTCAAAATATGTTGCGGATGTTGATCCTTAAAATGCTTTAATAACTCCATTACTTTACCGTTCCATTTGCATTCCGTTTTTGGCAACAGACAATTAATCGGTCGGTACATGCAAATGGTTTGGTGATTGTGTAGTTGCTCATAAAAGTTCGTGTATTCACATCCATCCGATTCAAACATGCAAGGAAATACAAGTTCTTTTAAAACAACGTCCATTTTTGTATTAGGGATAGCATGCCACTCTTCTGGGTTATCTGCATTTGTAAAGCAAGTGTTACAGATATTGCCAATATCTTCAACTATCATTACAGGTGCTTCGAGTAATTTTTTACAAAGAGCACAGGTGAATACCTCTTCGGAAAGCATTTTACTTGTAAAAGTTGTACTCTGCATTCCTGCTCTGTAAAAAGTAAACAAATGTTTCAGGTAAGTACCTACTTTAAAAGTACAGTCGAACAAAGTGAAAATGACGCTTCAATATACCAGCCCCTGCTGTGGATGCCGACCCTTCGCAAGCAGGGAGGATCGTAAATTATCGGATTGCAAACTTGACGTAGTTTCAAGATAAATTCCTGTAGAAGACGGTTTACAGAAAGCGAAATGAAAATTTAGTTCACAATTATTAAACTAATTCGAATTAAGTCGCCATTTATTTTGCATGACAAAAGTCAAGTTAAATGAAAATGTAATTTTTTAATGAAAAAATTAACAAACCAGTTTTTGAAGAAAACTATGCATTAATGATGACATTGACGAAAAAACAAATCATTATTTATTTAATATTTTTTTAACTGTTTCAAAATAAAATTATTTTATAAATTATTTATTTTACATAAAATCAAGTTTAAAACAGAGAAAGGCTATTTCGTACAAAAATTATGTTACTTATTTTAATTTTATTATTAATGCATAATTTTCTTTAAGAACTGGTTTTTATTAAATTGTGTTTTTATAAAACTAAACGTTTTTATTTAGTATTAAGTATTACAATTATCAAAAAATAAAAGCAGAACTAAAATATTTGAAATAATTTTGCCGTTTTTTTCCTGGTTTAATTAAATCAATAATTTAGATTCGTTTTCAACGACAATTGCAAAACTAATAGAAAACTTAGGGCCGGTTTACAGAACGTGTTAATCGCAATTAAATTTTAATCTTGACGTTTGGCAATGCAAAATAAATGGCAATTTAATTCGAATTAGTTTACCTAATTCTGAATTAAGTTTTAATTTCGCTTTTACTCAAAGAATTACACCACTCGTGGTAAGGCACACGTGAAATTAATTTTCCTTCTCGCAAATAAACAATAGTTTAATTCATTTGTTGTTTTACATAAAATCTTGTTTAAAATAGAGAAAACCTATTTCGTTCAAAAATTATGTTAATTAATTTTATTTTGAAAAATCAGTTAAAAAAATATTAAGTTTAATTTTGAATTAAATTTTAATTTGGCTTTCTGTAAACCAGCTCCAAGAGGAATTTATGTTGAAACTGCAATCCGATAATTTACGACCCTGTCTGCTTGCGGTTAGAAGGGTCGGCATCCAGCAGGGGCTGGTTTATTGAGGCGTCATTTTCATTTTGTTCGACTGTACATGGTGGAGGTTTAATGTTACTTTCTTATTTTCTAACGCCCTGTTATGCTTTTACTTTTTAAAATTTATTGTACTTAGATGTCTACTTCTCTAACAGCTTCTGAAAATTTAAATTTATTTGGAAAAAAAGACTGAAACGTGAAATAAAGTAGGTACTCAAGTATCTTTATTGTTTCTAATAATAATTAATTTCTTTACGTTTTCAATACACAAATAAATAATACTGAAACTCAACCATGTAACATATTACATAAAATTGATAGACAATTACCGAAACTTTTGAATAAAATTTCAGTTAATAAGGAAGTAAAAGTTATTTTTGATAATTTTATTTTGAAGTTTAAAAACTTTGTAATATAATGACTTTCATATCCCTCAATAAATACATAAGTAGTCTTAACAAAGTTTCAAGTTTCCACCACAAAGATCAGCAACTTTACTTGATGTGTTAAGAGCACGGAGTAAAATAATAAAAATATACAGGTGCGCCATAACTCACGCCCCAGAGAAAAATTTCAAGTAAGATAAGACACCAGGAACACGGAAAAAATGTTTAAAAAATTCTGTCAACAAATTTTGACATTTATTTTTGATATTTGACATTTTTTTATGTCTATTTATCATTAAATAGACATAAAAAAATCACTATCATTACTGATAATCTTGTATATGTTTTTTACAATTATTTAGTAATGGTACAAAATATTTGACAAGCCTCAAATAACATTGAACAGAGTTACAGTTTAAGATATAGCTTCCCTGTGTCCTCTTGTAGAAAAAAAACTTGAAAAATTATTTTTCCAACAGAAATAAATAGTCAAAGTCCAAAATTTAAACTCTCATAACTTCGAAATTTTTATAGATAAAATTTTTAAACATTTTTTCCATGTTCCTGGTATCTTACTTCATATGGCATTTTTCTCTGGGGCGCGAGTTCTGGTGCACGCTGTATATTATTATTGTCCGTGGTTGAGAGTGTAACATTTATGATGAAATACAAAGATTGAGAAAAATAGCCCAACGAAAATAACATAGGCACCACAGCTTTATCTGCCTTATCAGTCTAAATAAATTAATACATAGGTATTATACAGGTTGTTCGTTTTTCGAGCTCCACCATGGGGATCTCAGTTACTAGAAGAGATACTAGGTCGGTTAAATTAGGGCAAAGTTGCGCATTTTTATACTGAATAATAGTCTGAAAGAAAATTTAATGTGTAAGTGAAATTGCATTATTATTAGATAATTCAGAAACAATGATTTAGATTTAAGTAATTTGCAGCCTCACACTATATTTTTTTCAAACAAAATGCTGTTTTTCTTTATCAAAATCAAAAGCATTGTGTTAGGGGAATTACCGCATAATATGGTTGAATTCATGAGTAATAAATAAATTACTACTTACTTTCGCTGTCTAGCAACGTACACAGTTACTCCAAGATTTATATTCTTCAAAACACCCAAAGCACTGACTAAAGAACTGAGTCGACAAATAAGAAAACAAAATTGCTTTGACTTCAAACCGACAAGCCTGCAATACTTTTTCAAGGCTGACAAATTAAAGTGACGCTTCACGTTCCTGATTGGCTACCGATACCGGAACGGAAATATAAACAAGTGCAAATGCTTTGGCGCTCTATTTAAAAATTGTGTAAGCTGAATCTTCAAATAACAAGGATGTACTTTCTTAAAATTTATATTGAACAATAAATAAATAACAAAGACCCACACAGTATATTTCTCACAATGTATATTTAGACATGTTTTATAAATAATCGATTACATTCCGCTATCAGTAATACCGAGTTGTACTTTTCTTCAACAGGAACAAAATTTGTTTAACGTTTTTATTAATGACCAACAAAAAAATAACAAAATAAGGGACCACAATACATACGTCAATACTTTAATAAAACTTATACAATAAATTCATTACCTACAATGAATCTGTATAGCAAAAGACCGTTATGAAATTCGACAATAAAGGATGAATAAGCGTGCATTTTACATGATTCCAATTCGTAAAGTTAAAGAGAACGTTACCATCACCCTAAAAAGCAGAAAATGCGTTATTTTCAAACTTTACAAATTGAAAACTTTTCGTGATTGTGAGAATTCATTTCGATAGGTACTGTACACTTTCCTAATATCTCTTAGAGACCAGCTAACATAACTCGCGGATCTTCCACTGCTTGTTTGATTTTTCGGAGGAAGAAAACTGCTTCACGTCCGTCGACAAGTCTATGATCGTATGTTAGGGCTATGTACATCATGGGCCGAATTACAACCTGGAAAAAAATGATAATTAAAAAAAATCATTTGGTTTTTATAGTTACATACTTGTCCTTTAACAGCCACAGGTCTTTCGAAAATCCCGTGCATTCCGAGTATAGCCGATTGCGGTGGGTTAATAATTGGGGTCCCTAGAAGCGAACCAAACACACCACCATTACTGATCGTGAAAGTGCCACCATCCATGTCTTCCACGGCCAAACTTCCTATAACAAAATTTCAGAAAATGCCTCAACCTTGATGAAAACTCTCACCTTTCCTGGCCTTTTCGCCAAGAGCGTTGATGGCCAATTCGATGTCGGCGTAACTCATTCTTTCAACATTCCTGACGACAGGAACGACGAGACCCTTGGGTGTGGCCACAGCCACAGAGATATCGACGTAGTCTCTGTAAATGATTTCTTGGCCGTCAATAACGGCGTTAACTACAGGCTGGTCTTGGAGGGCGTAAGCCGAGGCCTTGACAAATGCCGACATGAAACCCAGTTTCAAGCCGTATTTCTTCTGGAAAGCATCTTGGTTGGCCTTTCGGAACTCCATGATGTAACTGTAACAAATCAAATAATTTTTAAGGGCACAATTTTAAATAGAAGAGAGTTAAATAGCATTAAGATAAAGTAAAAAAACTCAAACATACAGGCTGTCCCAGAGCTCCGTATTTGTTCGATTACTCTGACAGTAAAGAAGATATCGAAATGCGGTTTCTTTTGGACGATAGACATTCATTTTTTCTATGGTCCAAAAATATTTTCGTCATTATAGGTAATTTGTATATAGGGTGGCGCAACAAAGTTATATTGCATTTTTTCTTATGGAACACCCGGTATATTATGCGCTTATTTGAAAGAGTTTTTAATTGTAAGAATATCCTTATTAGGTTTTATGGGTCTATCATGGACCGTTTATCATTTATGGGCCATTTTATAAAAAAAGTACCATTTTTGAAAAATCACAACGGCTTTGCTAGAAAGAAAGAGTGAATAAAAACAATTACAACCATTTTTACTGACTCTGGTCCTAAATTATTATGGTTGAAATTCGATCAATCTTTTCCAACTACTGCAGAGTGTTGACATTCGCAACATATCAAGTAACTTGATTTTTTCAAATGAAACACCCTGTATGTTATTACTTTATCGTGTAGAGCTTTTAATAAGCTTTCTAAAAAACCTAGGTCTAAACTTTACCTGTTTTAAACCTACAAAATTTTAACTTATTCTATTTAGAATTTTTTAAAGTTACGTTATGACCATACATCAATCAAGTTTGTTAGAGAATGTAGAATTATGTAGCTACAGCATGATGGAGCTCCTGTTCATTTTTGTCGCATTGTGCGACAATTTTTAGCAACAGGTTTCCTAATCGATAGATTTGGAGGGGAGAACTATTGTCTGGCCACCGCGATCTCCAGATTTGACTACAATTGATTTCTTTTTATCGGGGTGTGTTGAAGAGAAGGTGTATGGAACAAGACCCACCACTCCAAATGACATGAAGGAAAGAATAATTGAAGCCTTTAATGACATCTCTGTTGAAATGCTGAGGGCAATCAAACTTTTTTTATGCGTAGACTAGACGTCTGTCTAACGAGAAATGACAGGATTTTTGAATATTTGCTATAAAATTAATTAAATTTTGAATTTTTTATCATTAAGATCTTGCACTGAATTCAAATTCCAATTAGCGTTTCTTGAGTATTACTCAGTATTTCAATAAACAACCTACTTGATTTTTAACGCTAAATAGAATAATTTAAAATTTTGTAGGTTTAAAAAGGTGTACAATGAAACAGGTAAGGTTTAGACCTCCAAACCCTAGGTTTTTTAGAAATCCTATTAAAAGCTCTACATGATAAAGTAACATACTGAGTGTTTCATTTGAAAAAATCAAGATAATTGATATTTTGCGAATGTCAACACTATGCAGTAGTTGCAAAAGATTGATTGAATTTCTACCATAACAATTTAGGACCAGACTCAATAAAAATGGCTGCAATTGTTTTTATTCACTTTTTCTTTCTACCAAAGCCGTTGTGATTTTTTAAAAATGGTACTTTTTTTTCATAAAATTGCCCATAAATGATAAACGGTCCATGATAGATCCATAAAACCTAATATGGATATTCTTAGAATTAAAAACTCTTTCAAATAAGGGCATAATATACCGAGTTTTCCGTAAGAAAAAATATAACTTTGTTGCGCCACTCTATATAGGAATAACCTATAATGCTGAAAATATTTTTGGACCATAGAAAAAATGAATGTCTATCGTCCAAAAGAAACCACATTTCGTTATCTTCTTTACTGTCAAAGTAATCGAAGAAATACGGAGCTCTGGGACACTCTGTATATATCAGACGAAAAAACATAAAAAGTAGTTAAATATTTTCTTTGTAGGATAATTTATCAAGTCACAAATCATTATTTGTAAAATTTAATTTAATCATTTAAAATTCGATCAGACGTTTTTTATTACTCATTATTTAATAATTCATATTTTAGGCAAATTCCATGTATCCTGTCTAGTTCTACCAGTCAATTAGTAGTAAAATATCTCAGTTCCGTATCAATTTTTGACCTTTGTTACGTAGCAGAAACGCTGATAATTATTTGTCGTGCAACAAATTTCACGTTTTTATAAAATTTAATTTTCCAAAACATTTTTTCGCCTATGAAAAAACTTACGACATATCAATTTCGTTAAAAGTGGTTAACATCGCATTAACATTCTGGGCTTGCTTCAATCTTTCCGCAATCTTCAGACGCATCCTGTTCATCTTGACTCGTTGTTCAGTTCGCGTTCCTGAAATTTCTTTGGTGGGATCTTGTGGGGGCACTTTAACAGTGGCAGCTTCAATGGCCTGAGCATGCCTTATGGCGGCTACGGGTATCGAGCTGAGAGGTGCTGCCGGCCTTGGTGGCGGCGGTGGGCCTCCTGCTGCAGGAGCCGCTGTTGCAAAAATATGGTCAGTTTTCATAAATGTTGTTTGTGAATTGATTACCGGGCTTTGGTGGTGGAGGTGGCGGTGTGGCGGCAGCAGCAGGGGTCGGTGGTGGTGGTGGTGGGGCTGCAGCTGGCTCGGCGGCCTTGGCAGCAGGGGCTTTTTTAACTGGAGCATCTCCGGTCAATTTCAATTTGAAGAGGTTTTGACCAGCTTTGACAGTTGCACCATCATCAACATAGGTTTCCTCAATAATACCATTGGCTGGGGCAGGTACTGGGACTGAAGTTTTGTCAGTTTCAATTTCCAAAACCACCTCGTCTTCAGCGACTTGGTCGCCTTTTTTCTTTTCCCACCTTTAATAGAAAAAAAATTGCTTCAACTTTGACTTGTACTTTACATAATGATGTGAATCAGTTACTTATCTTAGGCTGCGTTATCTTTAGGATATAAACAATTTTACTAATTCTTATCAGTTGAATGTTGCAACATAGTTCCCAAATTAATTATTATTATTTAAATTACTGTTTAATAAGACAATAAAATCTCAAGTGAAAGTAAGAGTTTTATGCACTAACCTTACATCACCTTCAGAAACTGAATCTGCAAATGGGGGTACAGTTACAATTTTGCTTTCCTCAAAAAGGGTAGCAGAAGACCGAAAATATCTCACTTGTTTACAACAAATAGACTGGGGTCTACAAAACTCAATTATTATTTTTTTCTTAATTAAAAGTAGCATAAAAACAAAAAACCTTGTAAAGACTGATTGACTAGGCTTCACAAATACTTTTCTTATCGATTTTAACCCTTGATGGTAAGCTCTGTGCTTGGAAGGTACCTGAAACACCCCCCCAAAAATTACATTACATAACACATGAGACACATTTCTTGCAAAAATTATTAAAGTACAATCATCTCGATGTTATTAAATAGGTTACATAACACAATAATTGATGGAGCTAAATAAAAGTGTGGAACATTGGCTATTTTTGACCCACCTAATAATTTTTGATGGCCACTTACCTCTGTCACACATTTTTCTAAATAACTGTTTAGTGTTCTAAAAATTGTCCGTGGTACATTTCTTGACGTTATCGTAAGCATACCCGCCATTCTAATAAGTTATGATGTGATAAATTTTACAAATTTTAGGACAGCAGCCCCTTTTCATGTGCTGCCACAACCTGGAAATCTTTTGATTTAAAAAGATCACTCAAATGTCAATTTTCAAATCTGTTTTTCGCGATATACCGAAACTGAAGGTCAAGGCGTAAAAGATAATTGTAGAAAACTTCCAAAGAGGCGCTGCTGTGGCAAATAATTGCAGATTATTTACTTTGTACTTTAATCTGTGCTTTATTATATAACAAATTTTTTTTTAAACAACTAAACTTGTTTTTTTTAGTACCACGTTTTTTTAAATTTGTTATTATAAAAAAATCACTTTTTATATAAAAACATCCACAGCCAAACATTCCGAACTACATAGAAATAGAAATAAAAGAATAATAAATTTTTGAAATACTGGGTGAATCTGTTTGTTACAAAAAAAAACTATTGGCAACACTGACTTATTGGTAATTTTTCTAATTTGTTATACCAGAATGTTTCAGCTTTAGCCTTATATTGTACTATAATACATAATACAATTTGAAGTATCAAATGCTTTTTATTTAATTTTTATCTTGAAGTAATATTTTTTGGTAATTTATACCAAACAACCAACATTTTACTAAAAAACTACCTTCATTTGTACATGCTATTATAAAACTCATGTATTATAAATCCCAAAATATCTAAAGATAATTTTATAATAGAATTCAAAGTGACGTATAGTTTTTATTGTCTAATTTGACAACTGCAGTGAAGTGGTATTGATGTGATTATTAACCATTTACATTTTTATTGACAATTATAGGTTTAGACCTTCTGCAATTTAGCGCTTATGTAATTACGTTATATAACCTCCAAATCCTTAACGTCAAAAAATGGCAGGAGCGGCTGCTAGCTACAAGAGAATTTTACAGTTGCTTGAAAAGTGGCCAATTGAAGAAGGAAAAGTCGGCAGGTAAGTAATAAATAACTCGTTTTTAAAAATAGATTTTTTATTCTGATTCTTAGGGATTTGGGAGAGTTTCTCCGAACCAAGATCACTAAAGCGTACAAAGAAAACAAATTTGAGGCCAACCAAAAGTACTGGGACAGTCAATACATTTCACTGCAACGTTTAGTTAACAACGATTATAGTAATAAATACCCTAGAATTCTCACGTCCTCTGCTACAGGTTTGACTGCCGAGCAGTGTCAAATTGCGCTATCAAACGAATTTCTCAAAGAATTGCAAGAAGAGGATCAGCCGTTTTATAAAAAAATATTTTCACTTAAATCCAAAGACAAATAAACATGTTTCAGCCGTTAGTTAGAAAATTTTGTAGTTCCGCGCCTCATGTCCCTGTGATGGTTCAAGAAGTTTTACATTTCTTAAAACCGGAAGGCAACCAAACAATTCTTGATATGACCTTTGGCGCTGGAGGGCATAGTAGACGCATTTTAGAGCAAACCTCAGATGTAAAATTGCTTGCTTTAGATAGAGATCCAGTGGCTTTTGGCTATGCCCAAAAACTGGCCGAAGAATTTCCAAATCGGGTAACGCCCTTATTGGGACGGTTTTCTGAAGTCCCTGAATTGCTGAGTCAAAATAAAATTAGACAGAATTCGATTGATGCAATATTGTTTGATTTTGGATGCTCTTCAATGCAGTTTGATACACCTAGTCGTGGATTTTCGGTTTCTCATAACGGGCCCCTTGATATGAGAATGGATAGTGGGAGGTTTCCTGAGGATCCCACCGCTGCTGATGTTTTAGCCAAAGCAACTGAAGAAGATCTCTACAAGATAATTAAAGTATACGGGGAGGAAAAAAAAGCACGAAAAATTGCCAGAGCCATAATCGAAGCGCGCTACTTGTTCAAGACTTTGTCTACAACAGAAGAATTGGCGGATTTGGTTGATTCAGTTTTTAATGGAGAAATAAGATTAGATAAATTACAGCGACCAGCACACAATGCCACTAAAACTTTTCAGGCTTTGAGGATTTTTGTTAACAATGAACTAAACGAAATTAATTACGGTTTAATAATTGCTCACAAATATTTGAAATTGGGAGGCAGAGTTGTGACTCTTACGTTTCACTCTTTGGAAGATACTATTGTTAAAAGACATCTGTTAGGGAATTTAATTGCTAACACTCCAAATCCGCTTCCTTTGAAATATAGCAGTCACTCGTTTGATGTTGATGGGAATTTTGTTAAAGAAGTGATGGAATCTAATTGGCTTAGTTTAACTAAGCATGTATTGGTTCCAAAGTACGAGGAAGTGGAAAATAATCCAAGAAGTCGTTCAGCCAAGTTGCGAGCAGCAATCAGAGTCAAATAAATAATTATTAAGTTATTAGTTGCTTTGTTTTATGTAATAAAAAATATGAAGCAAAAATATTTTTTTAATCTGTTTTTTAACCTCTAATGCAATGTACAGAAATTACATTTACACTTTCACACTAAAAAATTTGAAAGGCTTGATTGATTTTTCTATGAAAAATTATAGGCAACTATTACGTACAAGTTATACCTATAATCCTATAAATCAATACTGACGATATTGGTTGTTTAAATATACGCGTAAAAATAGAATGGAATTTTATCAAAAAGTAATTCATTTTAAAGTTTTTTGTACAGACAATTGAAAATCTTATTATGTACCCAGAGTTTTTTTTGCATTAAATTTGATAAACTTACGATCATATACTTCACAATCCACATTATGGATAATTTTACACATTTTGTAGTTTTGTTTCTTACTTAAAACTTGACTAAACTCTAACTCAAGCAGTTTAAGTTGTTTTTTTTTTCGAACTTTAGCACTGGCTTTATGTATAAGACGTAAAATAATAATTAAGGTTACTTTATTTTTCACGAAAAAATTTCTAATATTTTGATTTTGTAAACTCAAAATAAAGCAATAATATTTTTTAGTAGTTGCTTAATGCCTATTTAAATTTTATAATTCAGTTTATGAACCTTGTGGGTCTTTGAGATTAAGAGTTTCCCACTTAGTTTAAATCAGTTGAGAAATAGACTTGAACACATCTAAGGAAACCAATCCTGGCGTAGAGATTTGCTTTTCATTAGCCGTTTCTGACGGACCATCAGACACAGTGTATGGTCTGAGAGCAAGTTACAAACCACCAGCCTCTGGCTGCGTCTTCATCTAATTTCAACCCAGAGTTATGGAAGTTTGGATACATAAAAGACGGACGGGACCCTTCAGGACATCTTTGCATCGTAATTGAATCAGTCCTAAGTTAATTATGCAATAAATAGATATACTCAGTTAGGAACTGAACGGACAAGGAAGTCCTCTGAAATCGATTTCTTTTGAAAATCATTCCTGGTAGTGGAAAATCTAAATAATTCACGATTTTTGTTAAAGATAATTTATTTAATAAGTTATGAAACTATACCCGCAAAGTTACAAATTTATTATGATAACATAGCATTACCGCATGATCGGCTTCATCCCTAAAACGCCTGAAACTGAACAAGTTATCGGGCCCGACCTCAAGTTCTAAGCTCAAGTTTTGGCGACCTGAAAACTATCCATATCAGCTACTCCTATCAATTATTGTTCAACTCACTCACTTATGTTGGCCAGTTTAAAGGAAACCCTACGAACAAGTTACTTGGATGAGTTTGAGATAAGGTCTCTCGCTCCGGGAGTTACAAACTTGCTTATTCTGCTTCAGTAAAAGAAAAACTATCGGTGATTTGTCTGTTGTCAATGAGAAATCTGGTTACGAACTTCTGAAAATGAAAAAAAAATATTACAGTGTGGTTCATATTACTTAGGTATACCAAATTCCAATTTCCGGATTAAAGAAAAAATAGTTGCGATACGCAGATACTAACTGTTTAACTTAATTTTAAATCAAAAATATACGTAACGCAATAATAGTATTCATTAGAACTTATTTATTTGTTTTTTTTTTCTTCATAATTTAAAGTACCTACCCAAATTGATCGTAGCTTTTTATTAATGTAAAAATTTAAACAATTAGAGAAAGAAAACAGATTTATCAAAAAACGTGATTAAAATTTTTATTAGGTACTATTAACTAGTCAATTTTTACTTATTACTTAATGAATTAATTGTGTATATACATAATGAATTATGTAAGTACATACGTACAAGACATAGGTTGTACCAGTAATCTATACCTATTTTGTTTACAAAGAAACAAAGATTAGTAAATACGCATAACGCACTTTATCATTTATTTACCTACTCACCTTTTTTAATAATGTGAATTAAAACATTTTCCACTTTAGAATATTAGGTATTTACTTTATTTCACATTTAGTAGGGTTATGGCGATCACATTTTACAGACAAAATAAAATAATTGATAGGTTAGTAAATAATATTTTTAAGAATTATTTGAAACCACTTTGCAAAGGTGTTCACTTCTCCATCACCCTTCCCGTTTCATTTTTGCAATTTTTAAATAATCACCGGAATAGTAAGTTAATTCTAGTTCTTGGTTTTGTGTAAATAATTTTTATAAGAAGTAATTTGGTTCCAAATTAAAATGTTGTGATAACTTTCAATTTTAATGTAATTTAAGGCCGATGGAGGCAATTGATGAGACATGTACCTACAACGCTATGTTTAATTGATTATTACATTTTTATTGGGGAAACACATTTATAATTTCAATTTCACCTAAGTCCTTTGTAAAAAATAGAACAAATTTATAATTTACAATATGACATATTACGCACAAAAAATGCGTTCCAGGAGCCGAAGGCTAGTGTGACGGTTCTCCAAGTACAGAATATGCCATTCTAAACGAGTTTCAGACTATGATTAAAATTTAGAAAAAATTTAAACAAATTTATCCAATAATTTATGACTGCAGTTGACGCTACCTGTTAACATTCTAACGCTATAGCGTGTGGATACCCAGTATTCTGTAATCAATAACATTGTTATTCATTTATAATGTCTTAGAAGAAGTTTTTTGTTCGTTAATAGCCTCACGAATAGTTATTTTATTTGTTACTTTTTAATTTTAATTAAGTAGACGTAATCTAATATTTTTGTAGAATTAAAAAGCAACGTTTTTTATTATTATTCATCACCTTATATTGAATAAGATTATGTACAGGGTTATTCATAAATATGAAGCAATATTTGAACCTAAAAAATGACCTATAAAATGATGTTAATTTAAATAATAACTCGTGTCCTATCTCTACTGATAAGAATTTTACAGCCCTCGGAATGTGGGTATGGAAATTTGATTTTTTTGTAATAACTTTGGAACTATTTGACCAAATATTATAAAATTTGGAACATTTCCCTGTGACAACATACCCTTTGAACTGCTAATTGCGAAAACCGGATACATCCACTCAATTTCCGGTTCCAGCAGTTGCAGGTAACATTTTCTGTGTTTTTCCATTTTTTTGCTCCCTTAGCACCAGTTTTTTATTGCCCAAATCGATAGAGTAATCAATTTCGATTAAAAAACGCATAACCTTTAATACTCCTAAAATGGACCGTTTCAAAGATATTTTAATTTAAACTGAGGACTGCACAACGCTGAAACCAAAAAGTAGGGAGTTTGAATGGATGATATCCACGGTAACAAATGACCATGGTCTTACTAATCGCTGTCAGGCATCTGTCAACTTTGACATTGGACGATTATTAGACAATTAATCGAAAATATTTAATAAAAGAGTTTACCTCAGATTCCAAACATAACTTAGAATAAATCCAAATTGATCTCGTAGCATTTAATTCATAAAAAATTCACAAAAATTTATTGTCAAAGTTAACAGATGCCTGGCAGGGATTTGTGTGACCATGGTCACTGTGGATACTACTTATTCAAAATTCATATTTTTCATTTTCAGCGTTGTGCAGTCCTCACTTTAAATTAAAATATCTTTGAAACGGTCCATTTTAGGGGTATTAAAGGTTATACGTTTTTTAATCGAAATTGATTACTCTATCGATTTGGGTAATAAAAGATTGGTGTTAAGAGAGCAAAAAAATGGAAAAACACAGAAAATGTGACCTGCAACTGCTGGAACCGGAAATTGAGTGGATGTATCCGGTTTTCGTGATTACCAGTTCAAAGGGTATGTTGTCACAGGAAAATGTTCAAAATTTTATAATATTTGGTCAAATAGTTCCAAAGTTATTACAAAAAAATCAAATTTCCATACCCACATTCCGAGGGCTGTAAAATTCTTATCAGTAGAGATAGGACACGAGTTATTATTTAAATTAACATCATTTTATAGGTCATTTTTGAGGTTCAAATATTGCTTCATATTTATGAATAACCCTGTATATAGCTACGTCGAAATTTATGTATTTTAAATAAACTAACAGCTAATGTTTGGTGCAATAAAGTTTATTGTGGTAATCATTCGCGTTTCCTTGATAGGCTGTTAAAATAATCCTCGGATTTCTCAAACCAAACGTTGTTTATGTCGAGGAAGTGTTTTAATGTCCATCGTCAAGGAGCATGAAAGCGACCGCTTAACAGTCCTCAATAATCAGCGCAACGCCACCACAATAATAGCCGTCCATTCGCGATACCATCAGGGATATCTTTGTCCTTCCAAGTTCACAAAGCGTCCTGAAGCAGTTAGTTTTATGTATATTTGAGAGGCCGGCAGGCAATTACTGGCAGATAGCGGCCGGGTTGTAAGACGTAGTCGGGAAGTGTTCCCCAAGGATCCGGTAAGGACCCCAGTAATCCGCAAGACTCGAGGGGCACCCCACCAGTTACGGCCTTAATTTATTCATGGCCGTCCTCGACATGACTGTTTGAATCGGTTTGCAAGAGATTTCAACTTGGATTAACTCCAGTCATAATCACGTGGCATGCCGTCTCTCTTCTCGCCCGTCGCCCCAGACTCAACTGACTATTTCCTCTCGTTACCCCATTGAGATGATGCAAAGTTTTATTACTGTGCTTGCCCAGCCACGGCTATGGATGCTTCTCCTTCAGTCTCTGCTATGAGTGTATCCTCACTGGGGGCCGATTCGACACTCTGCCTAACTACCCGCTTTGCTACCGTCATCCAAATAATTTAATTAAACTACGAATTTGCTGAGTGGATTACACTTTTTCAATTTTATTTTTAAGCTAACGTCTTACTTATTCTCTATTTTACACAATTAATACAGGCTGAAGTATAAAAAACGCCCCAAGCCATAATTTCATTACTTTTAAAGACGCTATAATACTTTTTTGTTCAAAGTTGAACAGTTTTTTATTATCAGTCGTTTACTTGTCTTAGACAAAATGAATAAAAATGTTCTATTCTTTCCACAGCCTATTATATTTAATTTAATATTAAAATTGCTTAAAATCAAAAGTTAGTGATAATTAATAGTAAGTGAACTTGTTGAAAG